AAGGCCACCAGGACAACAGCCTTTACATCTGAAATTTTACCCTGGTTTTGTCACTGCCCCAAACTCCTCCAATATATTTGCTACTCATACGGTGTCTTCTACTTGGGTACTTCGTTCTTGACACAATCTGATCAGACGTGCTTGGTTAGCTGAATTCCTGGGACTGTTAAGAAGAGATGAACTTTGAAATCGCCTATCTCTTCTCTCGCTTTCTCATTATATGAGGAACCACAATCTCTAACTATAGTCTGAGTGCTCCTATTACAAAGAGATGCTGGCTGGAGAATTCTGGGGTTGAAAATCATGGGGCAGGCAAGAAAGAAAAACACTGGGACTCTGTACGTGGCATTTCTATAATCTACCATGATAAAAATGCAAAGAACACTCCAAAAATATTTTACATAATTTCACAATTTCTGCAAAAATAAATATCCAGCAACTGCTGCTGCCGATGGCCAAATAGCCATTATCAAACTAATATGTTGCAATTTCTTCTTTTCTCCTTCCCATCTAATATCATTACATAAAAGTAAGGGTTCCACTTTCACAAATGTGCTAGTCGTTTCCGGCTGAAGGGGGAGGTGCTCATCTCGTTAAGAGCCAGCGCTGTCCAAAGACGTCTCCGTGGTCATGTGGCCGGCATGACTAAACACAGAAGGCGTACAGAACGCTGTTACCTTCCTACCAAAAAGTGGTGCCTATTTTTCTCCTTGCATTTTTACATGCTTTCGAACTGCTAGGTTGGCAGAAGCTGGGACAAGTAATGGGAGCTTACTCCGTTACATGGTGCTAGGGATTCGAACCGCTGAACTGCCGACCTTTCTGATCGACAAGCTCAGCTTCTTAGCCTCTGTGCCACCGCGTCCCGTCATTACATATTTGTTTAAAAAAAATCAGGCAAATTCTTTGGAGTCAAATTAAATAGTCAGCTGGACTTACAATGGGACTATGAAATGAAATTCAAGCCTTCTCTACAGTCATCACTTAGGGCCTCAGGTGGATTTTCTTGTGTGCAATAAGGGCGGAATGTTTCCTGAAGGAACGTCCGCACTTGGGGCACTTAAATGGTTTCTCCCCTGTGTGTATAAGCATATGATTTCGAAGGTTAACCCTGCTACTGAGATCTTTGCCACAGTCTGGACACTCATATGGTTTCTCTCCTGTGTGAGTCCTCTGGTGTCTCACCAGGCTGGAATTGTGACTGAAACTTCTCCCACAGTCTGCACATTCAAAAGGTCTCTCTCCTGTGTGAATCCTCTGGTGGCTAATAAGGTTGGAATTGGTACTGAATCTTTTCTCACAATCAGGACATTCAAAGGGTTTCTCTCCCGTGTGAGTTCCCTGGTGTATCACCAGGCTGGAATTCTGACTGAAACTTTTCCCACAATCAGGACATTCAAAGGGTTTCTCTCCTGTGTGAGTCCTCTGGTGTCTAACCAGGCTGGAATTATCACTGAAACATTTTTCACAATCTGGACATTCAAAGGGTTTCTCTCCTGTGTGAATCTTCTGGTGGTTAATAAGGTGCGAATTCTTACTGAAACTGTTTCCACAATCAGGACATTCAAAGGGTTTCTCACCTGTGTGAGTCCTCTGGTGTATCACCAGGCTGGAATTGGTACTGAAACTTTTCCCACAATCAGGACAT